CTCAGATGAGAAAAGCATGGCTGAAGAAACAGATGAATTGCCCTATTCCTCTACAGACAGRGATTAAGGAAAGCAATTGGACCTAGAGCCTTCTAAGAGACCACACCACTACATTTCCTTCCCCCCCACCTCAATTTTTGCATTTTTTCCACTACTGAAGCCCTTGCAGGACAAACAGATTACCACGCTTGCAAATCAGCTCTAGAAAGGCCCATCTCTGATTTTTTTTCCATGGTTTACAATGAAGCCAATACGGATACACTTTGCCAAGAATGAGATGAACCTTGGCAGCCCCTGGATGGCATTCATCTTGGGATAACGATCACTGGGACTCACTGGAAGAAATGTAATCCTGCAGCAGGGCAATAAGCACCTCTGAGGGTCTCCTTGGCATTTATTCTTTACTGAAAGCTTCAATAGCCACAGCAAGAGGTGAGCATCCAACCTGTCAAGGGTGGCCTCATCAGATTGATGCTCTGAACTGACACCTGCCTTTTTGCTTCGCTATAATTAAAGAGTGGACTTGCTCTGTGCAGTGCAACACCAAGGTCCCATGGAGCTCTAGAGCACAGCTCATCTTGGGCTACAATCAGCTACACTGGCACAAAGGAAAAAGCTGAGTATTGCAGCGTCTGCCATGTCACACACTATTCCCTGCCACCTCCATCTGACATGGGTTAGGACAGAGAAAATGAGGACTGATAGGCTGATCTTTGCTACAGGAAGCCTTTATGAATAAAAATAAATAATTTTTTTTTAAAAAAAGATAGTCTCCGAGGTTAGCAAAACCTCATCTTTTCTCACTAGCTCTTAAAATGCATCTTCCAAAGAATTAACACTTAAAAACTGACACTTAAAAAGCGTCCCCACATGCAGAAGATGCCGTTCTCTTCTGATAATCTCTGTTGTTGCCACAGCAGTATAAGAAACCAGCTGCTCTGCTGGATCCCTGCCAAGGGACAGCACACAGCAGCCTGGCAGAAACTGCTCTCTTTTCCATTGTGATAAAGAACACCTTTGCTAATTGCATTTTAGAATGACTTGGCCCCTCTGGGGAAAGCAGGGTCTCCACTTTTCTTAGAAGGAAAACACAATTGCTTCTCTCTCCTCCCAGTATCAAATGACCCTGCGAACGACTGGGGTGCACATTTACAGAGTCACCAAAACACTTAGGCATTTATTCTGACTGCTCATGAGATGGAAATCCTCAGAGGCCACATTTAAGCCTCAATGACAGTGGCAAAGGCTCAGGGTGGTACTTTCCAAAAACAGACCTCCACAGAGTGTCTGCAACTTGATGATGGGAATGTACAACAATCTTCTCTCAACTGACCTGCACGCAAAGGAAAAACATTGCCTTCCTTCATCAACTGACAAACACTGGCATRCCTGAACTGTGTCTACACACCCATTTGGCTATAGATTAAGTACCTTCAAACTTGCTGTGCTTTGATTCATAAAGCGGGATGATCTTGGGGCACAGACTCCCATTAGATGTAGGTAGAAYAGGAGATACATGCTGGGAACATCTGATGCAGAGTACCCACTCAGGAGGCCCAGACTAGGCCAAAGTAAACCTCCACCAAAACGCACATAGGAGAGACATCAGGTTCTCAGAACCATCTGATCTCTACAGATCCACTCACACCACATTTCACTGCTTGGTGACTTGACTCCTTTCACTTGTCTCCTATCTGGTACTTAGGGATAATACCTTTACTTTTATTACATGCATTCCCAATCACTGCTTAAACAGGGCCCATGACTCTCCTCATCCTCRGTATATGAAACAAGTTTCATTGCAGTGTTTTCTGCTTCCAAACTTGCTTTCTACAGATGTTCCTCTCCTTTCACCAGGCCCCATCACACTTCAATTTGTTACAAAGAGCATTAACCCATTATCAATGTGCAATATGGGCCTGTTTTGAAAAAGTCGCTCTCATTCCTTTGCCACAATAAATAATAGCAGAGAAGCTGCTTAGCCCTCATTGCATTTCGAGAGGCTATTCGGACTCCGGTGTTTGTGCACACTGCATGGTTTACAGCAGGGATTTTGCATTGTTTATCTTCTGTTCCTCTGCAGACAGTGGCATTGTTAAACAGCATGTGTCCAAGGGAATCCACCCTCTCTGTGGGATCTCCTCCCAGCTATTATAGCGCTTCCCAGAAGCCTACTGAGCTCTGGAATAAACAAGTCTTGATGGGGGGGGACTGGGCCCACACCCGAAACGTACAGTGCCATGAAGCCTCCATAGCAATGAAAGTAACTTGGCTTTGCATGAAACCTTCCTTTTGCCTAATGAAAACCCTGTGTTGTCACTCGTCTTAATGATGCATGTTGTCCCTTGCAGGCAAAAGAAAAATAATGGACTTTTCTGACTTCCTCCAACTGTGGCATGGGCCMCAAGAGAAGTTATTTTTCTCTCTGTGACCCATGAGCTCGGGCATCTCAATGGTTTCACCTTAGGCAGAAGAAGCAGAGATCAAACTTGGGGACCGACAAGCATGTGGGACATGCTRGGAATCCTCCCGCACCAAGAAACCTCCCACATGCTCAGCTGGTTGTTTTTCCTCACCCGAGCAGAGCTAGACTGGCAGATTTGGGGACAGGAAGGAATCTCCTCCAAGTCAGATTTCAAGGACCATTATGTAAAAGGCTTTTGTCTTTTTTTTTTTTTTTTTCCTCTCCCCTCCTTCCTCTTCTTCCTCCTCCCCTGCTCTCCAGTGCAGTTTGGGGCCTGCTACATCCTTGGTATCATCTAACCATTCTCTCCTGGCAAATAGTCTTAGAGCAGCACTGGGAAGCTTTTGCTGTCATTTTGCCTTGCATACATTTACTCATCTTGTGTCATGGGATATGGCAAGATGCTTTGCAACTTGTTAGCAGAGGTCAGGAAGACCCTGCTGCTCTAAACATCCCCTATGCAGTAAATTAAGTCTGTGGCAAGTTTGATTCAATGATCCAAGCAGTCTATTTCATATCCACATTCCCAGGCTTTTGCTCTGGCTGACAGCAGATGCCCAGCATTTCTGCTGTGCAAGCAAGTCAGCAGTAGTAAATGTAGGAGGGTTATTGCAGGATCCATGTCTGGCAGCCTACCTCTGTCCTGGGCCAGGACAAGTCTAGAATGACAAGCAGTATCAGTGATGGGGCTCTCTATTGCATGAGAGGCAAATGTTCTCAAATCTTCTTGTATATAAGAGGAGAGAAAAATCAGTCCTAAGATTTCATTATATGACCTCAGACTTGTTCTTCTTTTTGTACTGGCTTGGGATGGCATTTATCCATCTATCTAGATCTTTCAGTTCTGCCATGTTTACAAAACAAGTAGATTTTGGTCTTCAAGATAATTCATCCTCATTATAGCCTAGCTCAAACACAATCAACGCAGAAGCCCTTCAGAAGCACTAAACCCAGCACTAGGCTGTATAAAAATGATAGCTCCCATATGTCCTTATAAACACCATGCCAAACTGTATTTGTACTGTATTTACATTGTGTTAACATCTACCAAATTACCAAACCAGCAGGAGAGCATATACCCATGCACACTTTTAAACAAGCTTTAATGATCAAGCAGACTATAAGCCATTTAAATAAAAAAGCTACTTGTATGAAGAGGAGAAAAAAAAGGAAAAAAGAAAATTTTAGGATAATCTTGGCTTGCAGCTTTGCACTACTTGCCAGAACTCAGACATCTGCATCCTGTGGTATCAGACTACTTGGGGACTTTGTTAATTCAGAGGCAACTAAATCTTGGATGGGATTACCCCCAGGAGAGCTTCCTGTTCTCCTGAAGTTACACATGGTTCAAAATAGGAGAATTTTAGCTACCATGACTAAATTCTCTCTCATTTACACTTCAGTTTATTTTCAAGTGCACTCTGTTCTCCAAAACATAGAGCTAAATATATTTATACTTGCCGAGGATGCAAAATAACACTCTGGAAAGTTCCTTTCCTGTCTAGGGATATTTCCTGGCTAGCAGTCTTCTGATTTTCTTTGGCCTTTGATTTTCTTTGGCCCGGGCTTTCATTATAGTTAGGATCTTATCAATCTTAAAGCTCGCAGTAAAAGAACTTCATTCTGGTTATTTGTTTCACTTTGCAGCAAATCTCTCTCTTAAGTCTCCAGGGAGGCTTAAGAACTCTCAAGCACCAAGCAGGTCAGAACAGTGGTCCGTTAAACCTACCTCTTCCTGATGCCAGTAGGAGATAGAGACACAAGAAACTCTAGATCTCCTGTTTGGAATCAGGAAAGGATTTCTTGACCCTGAAGAATGAGAATGCAGTAGGCGGCATCTTTAGACAAATGCGTGGGATCTTTTCACTTAAGCTGTACAGATTCTGGTGACACCCCTATTATTCTTAGCTACACACAGTGATTGATGTAAGATGCATTCTAATACCTTTGTGAGTTATCTCCAGTACTGAAGAATAAATTGACCAACTCAGGTTTGAAGACCAAATCAGGATGCAGTAAAATTATTTGACATTCAGAGGTCAGCTTCATCATGTTATAAATTCAGGAAATCATGGATATACTTTTTCCAAGAATACTTCAGACCACCCCAGTTCATTCCTGTTGCTCAGACCCTTCCTCCCACAGCACCGAGGTTTGCTCTAAGTGTAATGGCTAACAGGGAAGACACGAGCAACAGAAGGGCCAAGTCCTCCAGAATTCAACAAAACTAGAGAGTGCCCAAGAGCAAAACTGTATAGTTAGCTGAGTCTGGGCTTGATGTCCAGCTTGTAGATAAGTCACTAGGCAGCGGGGTATAGCACAACTGCCAGGAGCTTTAAGATAAGCATCTCAGTGGATCACACCATAGGTCATGTTGCAGACACAGATTTCCCAGCTTCAAAACCTTGATGGACATAAGGATTCTGCTGCAAGACCATTCAGGCTGGCTGTTAWCACAGCCTTTGATTTTCTTGCTGTTCACTTGTAAGCTACCATATCCTCCAACTACCTTGTACAGCTAACTGCATTGGAGCCGATTTCAGTCTGCTGTCTTGGCCTTGATGTAAATGGACAGGCAAGAAAAGGTAAAACACCTTTGAAACGTTGCTCAATCATCCATTAAACCTATAACCACTCCTGTTTGCTATCTGTGAACTGTAATAGACCCCAATTCTTTATGCATTGTCTCCATACATCATCGCAGATTCGTGAAAGCACATATTCAGATATATTTGTCATGGCTTAAGCAACAATTTATAGCCATTATATTGATGGTGGAAGGCAAAGCACAATGTTTCAAGCTCATCATACCTGCTTTATTACAACTTACTGCTTATTCTTCATGCTCAAGTAATTTGACAGATTCAATATAAGAGGGAAACAGATTCTTACTTTCAGCCCAACAAAATTAGAGATGATTTTCAGATAGCTGTTTTGAACTATACATGCATTTGGTAGACAATGCAAGCGAAGGGTTTTGTAGTTAACAGCTCAAGGCACAATTCCCAAGGGGAGTTCATAACTCTCCAGGCAGCCATACTTCACAGAGCTTTCTGGGTTCATCTTTTCAGGCATGTCCATGCTCAGGTCCTGTATTTTAACTAGGATTTTGTTCTAATTTTGTATTTGTGATAGCAATACTGATATGATCTCACTTTACTCTTGTTAGCAGGAGACATTGATCATGCAAGGTGAGCAGCAGGAGGGTGCATTTTAAGAAAACGGTCTTGCTGATATTCACACGCAGATCCTTCTTAACTCACACCTTGTTAAAGGAAAGAAAAAAACACACTCATTTTGTCAGGAAACCTAATCTACCTTAAGACTTACAGCTGCTTCATGCTAGTTCTGGGTTCACACAAGAACCACATGGGAAATTGGCCTTCCTCTGCCCCAGTACACCTCCCCTCCTGCCTTTGAGGCACTCTGATTCTGATGAAAAGAATCGCTTTAGGAGCCAGCAACACATGTATGTTCTAACAACCCCTGACACACAGGATGAGCTTTCTGTATTTCCAAGAACTGATTTACCTATCCTGCAAAAGCGGAAAACAATTGCAAGAACCAGCCCGTGGCCTACAACTTATTCACAGTCACAACTACTGTTAGAGCTCAGACCTTCATGGTCACAAGGAAAGCACAGGCCATCGGCTTGAGGATTAGGGAGGTTTTTTCACCTCCCTGGTTTTTAAAAATTACAGTTTCTTTTCCTTCCTTCCCCTACTTCCTGCTGGGCCTAGATTTACATGCCAAAGAAAAACTTTTCAAGTGCCCCAGGGACTTGGGTACCCAAGTTYCTGTGATTTCAAATAGAAACCAGGATGCAGACTGACCATCTCCTAGCATGGAAATAAAATGGCCACTTATTCTGAAAGATGGGACCTCAGTGCATCCTTCAGTAAACATCTTAGTAATACTTTTTCAAGTAGAAAAAACCCTACATACTGTAGTTCCTAGACTCATTCCTCTGGGATAGTTTAAATATCATTCCGAGAAGAATTTCTATCTAGTCATTGTTTTTGTACCTAGTCCAAGAAATTCCTGCTTCTGTATCTAATGTGAAGAACATGTTTTCAGCTTAATACCTACTCTGGAGCCCGAGTGCCACATTTAACATATAGAGAGCCTGGAGGGACAGGGAGGAGGGAACCTTTTTCCAGAGTATTGATGGGACCTTTCAGTTGAAAGGACTCTGAGATCAATCCAAGGGTCCTGAAGCCCTGGCTTTTCACTTCAGCGTACTGTAGAAGTTTGGAAAACAGCAATTCCATCCCTCCTTCCATGGAAACTTCAGGAAATACTTGAAGACTAGAAGTATTTGCTGCTAGCACAAGCCTAATCCCCATAACCTCCCAGGGGAAAACAATCTCACTTAAGAGGAAGTCTATCCAAGACAAAGATTTCTTCTAACCAGCTGGAAAACAACATGACTTCATTAATCTACTCAAGATACTGAAAACTTCTCAAAGAGCTTTGCTACAGATCTGTTAAATATCTAGTACTCATAACCTCTGATCTCCAGAAAAAGACAAAATGAAAGAAGGAATAGATTGGAGAAGTCTTTGCTGGATATTTCTAGTTCCTGCTTTTACCTGGCACTTTCGCTTACTTCTCAGGTTTTGCTACCCAGGGTAGCACAGAGGGGACCTGGTTTCCCAGAGCTGTATTCCTGTCATACTTGGGGGAGCAAAGACCCAACTACACGATCTGCCACTACACATTCACACATTTACAATCAGGGAGGTTCAGGAAAAGCTGTTATTACCCACCTCTATCATATGCATTACCTAGCAGTCCCAAGTCACCATTCAGACGGCACATAGACGTCCCATATGGACATAAGCGCAGAGAAGGCGGTACAACTTGCCTAATGCCACACATCTATTCAAAGTCAGGAAGAGAACCCAGGAGTCCTTGTTGGCAATTAGGGCCCTAATCCTCTTCACCTGCATGCTTGCCATTACCACTAAGAGATAACACATGATGCAGACGCACAGACTGGCCTAAACCACTACTTCTCTACTACCACACAGGTTCTCTCCAGATAGGAGGTTAGGTCTTGCAAAGCTAAGAGGCACATTAAGACTTGCAAGGGATAATCCGCACTGCTGTAAATTAGGTCAAGCTTTTCTACCTTGGCTATTTTCTTCCTTCCTGTCTTCAGCCTTTGCCTGAAGTCCATCAAAGAAGCCTTAACATCATACTGCTCGTTTGTCTGGAAGGAAGATGGATCTGTGGTCAGATGCTAACACAGGAAATGACCAGGCTGGGGTCAGCTCCCAATGCCACCACTTCTTCTCTGCGGTCTTCTCACACCTCCAAATCTATAGGCAGAGCATAAACACATTAGCAACCTACATTGTTCAGGCTCAGTGAAGACAAAGGCTAGAGAAAGAGTTATGAACACATAGGAGTTTACAGAACTCTTCCTTCTCCCCTAAGCTTGTGTTTTGTTTTGCCTTCCCCCCTTCTTTCCTGGGAAATGTGATGAAGGAGGGTGGAGTGGCTTCGGCTATGTACAAATATTCAGACAGTTTCTTAGCAATAAATGGATCTCAGTCAGTTCTATTATCTGTCTGGCTGTGGCTCCTATTATCTGCTGTGAATTGTAGCAGTGATCTCTGGAACAGCATTCAGGCACCATCATTACTAACTTCCACACCCTCCAAAGACCGCACTATAACAAGGCTCGCTGGATAATACTTGCCATTAGAAAAGGGAACATAAAGGATTCAAGCTATGACTAACACAGTAAAAGGCTCTGCATGAGGCTTTAATAACAAGACAGTGTCAATGCACATAAAGAAAATTCTAGGTTCAAAACCTAGACCGGCATTTTATACAGCACATTTATAGCTGATTTATACAGAAGGCTCATTTCAGTCTGTTCTTGCCCACTCCCCCTCCCTCCGCCACCATCCCAAATCCTTATTGACAATTGCAGCTATACGTGTCAGCCCTGCAGTCCGAGTTGGACAACGCAAGTCCAGCCTGGAGCAGGGCTTCTCACATCCAAGACAGCACCTCAGAGCCCATCTCCACACGGCGGCACTGAAAATGGGGACACCGCAGGGAGTGTCTAGCCAGTCAGTGCTGAAAGCCTCTGAAATGGCACTCATATGACTTCTCGCTAGGAAGGGGAATTTTGGGATCCAAACCCACATCTGACTTCCTTGTGTTTTTCACAAGTCCTCCAGTTCATTTGAGGCCCATCTGCAGAGTCTACATTGAAACCTAATAGTCTTCCCGAGGGTAGGATGAGGGTTGTCAGAGAGGATTGCTTAGGCCTCCCTCCCTAGCAAGCAATGCAAGGCCACAAACATTAACTCCAGCAGAGTCCATTTTCCTATGGATTTCTACCTTGCATTTGACTGATTTCAGGCTCTTAGATACATAAGCTCCAAACAGAGACTTTCCTGAAACTGGGATATTCAGAAAGCCACTCTCCCGCACAGATTCTCTGGTGTCTGATAYATTACCAGCTTCTGCTTCAGCTTTTCCATAAGCCAAAGCATAAATAAGTGCTCAAATGAAAAAGGTCCTATTTCACAGCATGGCTTCTTAATATCTGAATATTACCCCTCAACCAGCATGGCTTAGAAATTAGTCATCAGGCTAAAAAGTTATTAGGAAACACTTGATACTATGATTGCTTTCCTTTGGAATGAAAGCAGGGGGSCAGAGAAGTGGGGAGAAAAGGGTGAGTCCTTGCACTTACAGTAAGGAAGACGTTCCCAGGACGGCCAGCACAGGCACAGCGTCCACAGAGGCCTAAGGCACAAGCAGCTCAGCCTGAAGGCCAGCACTAAAGCTTACCCCCAAAGTATTCCCATTCCTAAACAGCCAAGGAGCTGCAGATACTGCCTTAAATAGAGCTGAGCTGCCTGCAGCCATCCTGCAGGGCAGCACCACCCATGGTTACCACGGTCCAGCTGAAAGTCATTTCTTGCCCAGCAATTACTCACAGGCCTCAGCTGGGACAACTCAGCCAGGGCTTCTTGCTCTTCTTCCCATAAGTGTTTGTGTGCCGGGATCTGCACTGCTGCCTTGGCTGAGCACATACCATGGGGTGCAGGGCGAGCATCGTGCCGTGTGTGCTGCCACAGCACGGTGTGGGGATGGCATGAGGGCAAGAGTGCAAGCAATGAGCTCCTCCAGGTCCCCTCAGGCCAGGAGCTCGGGAGCTGCCACCATCAGCCAGGTTTYCAAGCTTTTAACATCCTCCCCGCTCTCACTACAGTGGCACCTCATGCCYATGGGATCTGCAGCACACGTGAGCATTGCTCATCTCCTCCAGACTTACCCCAAGCAGCTTTCGGGGAGATGTCCCTTCCTCTTCTTGCCACCCTGATCACGGCCACACTGTGGGACAGAAACCACAGAAGTGTGAAAGGGGACATTACGCTTCCTCACAGCCGTTTTCATACCATACACTAACCCAAGTTGGCACCAAGGTGGTGGTGGCGCAGGAGTAACCTGTGGGTGAACAACGAGTGRCCAACAACCTGGACGGACGTGGGGTCTCTATCTGAGGAAGAACAATGCCAAACTACCCACCTAGCCCTACTCTCCCCAAACCGAGAGCAGCTTGCTGCTAGCAAATAGCTCTCCTCTCCCGCAGCAGGGCTGGCTGGAGCTGGCAACCAAAAAGGCAGCGTTTCAAGTAGTTCTCTGGCAGCCAGTGCCAAGCATTTGCAGAAGGTCTTCTGGCCAGGGGAAAGGCCCTCCCCATCTTCATGGTAGTAAAAACATTAAAAACATACTCAATTTGTATACAGTTTATATTCTTCATAAAAATGCTAATTACTCTCCCAGAGAGAGGAGAAGTGGAGCGATTTTTTGCATCCCACCCTTCCCCCTGCGTTACCCTTTATACTTTTATGACGCAGCATTTATTTAAGTCGGAATTGTGCCCGGCTCACTCTGCCTTTCGCACGGCGCATCCTCCCCTCTCTTCTCACTCGTAAAAAAAAATAATAATAACTTTCAAATTTATTTCAGTGGAAATTTGGAAAAAAAATAATATTAGGGAAAAAAGGAAAAAGCCTCCAAACATAAAACACGCAAAGATGCCAGCACACCCCTCCACAACTTTTTCCTTTGGTGCATACATTTTTCCAAGGTCACCTCGGAGGCTTTTCCTAGTTGGCTATTAAAACAAAACAAAACAACAACAACAACAAAAAAAGCAGCACATGAAGCCATCCCTGTGGCTTGGACTGCTTCCCTGCGTGCAGATGCCACAAGAGAAGTGAGGTTGTGGGGGGAGAAGCTGATCTATTTCCAAGACCTTTTTTTCTCTCACCAGAGGAGGAGGATGAAGATGGAGTGATGATGAGTGAGGTTCCGTTTGTCCGGCAGCATGACTCACTCAGCAGCAGTTTCCGATACACATTTTTTTTTTCTTTTTTTTTCTCTTTTTTTTTTCTTTTTTTTTTTTTTTCCATTACAGAATTTGGTGTCATTTATTCCTTCCTCCTCCTCAAGAAAAACAAATCCTTCTACCGTTATGTCTAATTTATTCTGGGAACTTGTTTGAGGACCCACCAAAAGAGCTGGGGGAGGGGGGGATCTGAAACACAATCCAAAATATAATCGGCTCTGGAAGCTTTTAAAGAGACTCCTTTAAGGCTGTGCCAAGCCTTAAAGAAGGAAAATACTTCCACTAAATCCCTCCCACCATGAATGGGATCCTGTATGTCTGAGGCTTTTTATTGGCTGTGTGCTGGGGTTTTTTTCCCCCCTTTTTTTTTAAATCATCAAAGATGTTACTCTTTCAAATGGGGTCGGAGCTCTGCGGCTTTTCGGAAGGCAGCAAATTCCTGCTCCGTGGGCACACTGGGATCTGACGGAGCCCTCCCCCACACGCGGACGGTTCTCATGTGCAGATCTGGCTCCTGGAGCCCAAGCTGTTGGGTTTTTTTTTTCCCTGAAAGCTGTTTTGTTCCCCTCTTCACCCTTTAAAGGCAAAATTAAACAGAACTAAGCTCTTAAAAAGGAAAAAAAAGAAAAAAACAACAAACTTCCTCAGGCCCGGAAAGCCAGCCTGGCCTCCCCATTCTTCAAATACCCCCATCATATTCAGGCAAGGGATGATGTTGCCCGTGCAGCCTCAGATGACTCTTCTGTAGCCAGCAGGCATGGAGGAAGAGGCCACATCCATCACGGGCAGTGGCTGCACAAGGGACACCACCTTTGCAGAGCCAGGGCCACCAAGCAAGTTTTATAATCGATGTATGGACTCACATTCRCCCCTCAACTGATGCCATGTGGTCTCACTTGGAGAGGTTGCAGACCTTGAACAAGCCAACCTGGGCTACCCCCTTGCCTTGACCCCGTGTGCCTCCTGGCAGAGCTARGTCAGGCCTTTATCCAGTGCTAAAATAATCCTGTACAGCAGAACATGCAGGTCATTACAGGGTTCATCTAGGTGTTTGTTTTGACCAAAGAGTATTTTGGAGAGCTCTGGAAGCAGGGCAGTAGTCCTGTCCAGTGCAGGAGATTCTGCCCTGCTTCCTTCCAGCAGCACTTAAATCTAGATTTAGAAATAGATAGCACTATCATTTCACTCTTTCCACTAATGGCACTAGTTCAGCTCTGCAACCTGTGTGGTGTTTAATCCTGTCTGTTTATCCCCTCAGACGCCACATTTAGCTTCCACTGCTCCGTCCAAGACTCAGTCTCACCTCCACCCATTGACTTTGCACTGAGAGCATAAACAGGAAAACACCAAGAGGGGCATGCTAGGATTAGCCATCTCAGGTCTGATTTCAAAATGTATGTGACCAAGCTTGAAACAGGCAGCTCCCAGAGCTGAGCATCCAGCCTGCAGAACAGACCTGCCACCTCATTGTACAGACCTCTCCGTTGAACAAACTGGGGTGCAATTGCTGGGGTGTCAGGATGCCATGGGAAGGTGGTTGGATGTTTGAGAGAAGTGAACCTTGGTTTGTCTGAATGAAGGCATACACTGGAGTCCGCATCACAATGAAGAGATGTGTTTGGGTAGGTGAACAATACAGTAAGATTGTCCAGAAAGATCTTTCACATGCCATTAGGATATCCATGTCACTGTTCCAGCTATTTCTCTGGATGGTGGCTTTATTCATCCTGATGGGAGCACTCAGCCTGGTTAGGACCAACCTTAACACTTCCTCCTTGAGAAATCTTCACTGTTACAGATTGCTCTCCAGTGCAACATCTGCATGCAATATCTGCAACTTTTTTTTTTTTTCCTCCCCAATAGATTTTTCAAGCGGAAACATAATTGGTGGGATATTCCTGTTAGATGCAACTACTATTTACCTGCTCTACCCTTGGGAGGTAACCAGCTCYCTCACTGACTATGTAGGAAGTCATGGACCTCATGGCATCCTGCCTACAACCTCGTCCTCCACATGCTCTGAACAGCTTCTTAAACTTCTCATTAGTACAGTGCTGTCCAAAACTGGTAACGCCTTTCTTTACACTAGTGACTCCTCTTCTAAAGAGACTGCAAAGCTTCTTTAACAGGAACCCTGGCATCCTTACACTGTTTTCTATTTAATCATTACGCTACTCATAAGGGACAGCTGCAGTTCAAATATTTTATCACTGTTTCTTCTGCTTTCCCCGGAGGATCATGTGCTCTTGGACTGCACCAGCAGCTCTGTGTAAATAGCTGCAGCAGAAGGAAATTGGTCATAGCCAGACCTTTTCTGTTTGGGCTTTGGGTCACTCTGGAGAGCAGTTTGGCCTGCCCAGCTCACAGAGTGGTCCAGATTGCTGTGCACCAGCCACTGAGCCTCTTTTCTTGGCCCCCCCACCTCTACCTCACACTTTTATGTCATGTGCCATTCTAACCACCGATTTTCTGTTTTCTTCTTGGTCATTCTTAAAAAGTTTGATCATAGGGTCCTAAAACAATCTCACAAAGCCCATGAGAAATACTCCCCCTCAGTTATGATTTCCTGTTTACAAAGGAATCACATTTTGGGATATGATTCCAAGACTTCTACTCTGCCACATTGATTTTGAATCACTCTAGTTTCTTAGATGTTATACAGAACAAATATGAGTGTCAAAACCACCAAATATCTTTATCGATCATATTTTAATTTCATCACAAAAGACCCCAAGTCTAGCTTGATAAGCTCCATCTTCTTAAGGTATAGGAGGTCTTCTGAATAAGAAATAGTCTCATGAAAGCAGTCATTTAATGGAATTTCGAGGTAGATCTGAAAAGAATAGATTTAGATGTCTATCCCACAGTAAAAATAAATAAATAAAGGCTTGTGACSCCCTCCAGGAATGCAACACTAATTCTGGACTTAAACTCATCCAGATTTACATTCTAATGCATTAGGTTTCATTAGTTAGGAAAACAGGGCTGGCACTTTCCCAAACACACACAAACTCATTCATTAAAGAAAAATGAAGCTTCTTGAAGGGCCACTGGGTCCTCAGACTAAATAGAGCAGAAACCAAGAAAAAAAAAATAATAATAATAATAAAAAAAAAAGGCGGTCAAGTACTGGTTTTGAACCATTTGATGCTCAAGACCTCCTGCATGCAAACCAAAGGACGTATTCTCCATACATAGGAATGCCTTGGGATTCCCAAAGACAGCTTCCCCACATTGCACAAAATGCAATGTATTTTCTTTGTCAACTGCTAAGAAATTGTGATTCTAGACTGATGTGGCCCAGCAGGATAAGTTTTCTCAGTTTTTTGAAACCCRATTTAAATACTGTAAGTTAAAGGGAAGAAAAGGAAGCCAACCTCAGATTGAGTTAAGTGTGCCAAACCTCACCATATAGACATGTGCAATTATGGAACTTCCTGAAATA